GATCTTAATTTCGTTTTCAGATTCGGAATCCTGAGGAAATTTCCTATAAGACTAATATCCTGGACATTTGATTCGGAGATTTTTTTTTTGGACCTCGTTTTCGGACACTGATATCTCGAAATCGGTTTGAGATATCAAAAAACTAAATCGACCCTAGATTTCCTACTTTTTTATGAGGAACACAATGAAAAAAAAACGGATCGAAAATATTGAAGGACGACCGAGAAAATTGAAAAAAGTGACAAAGTACTGGATTTGACCTAGTTCTTGACCTTTGACCTAGATAAAAATTTGACCCAATTTCCGAGGAACTAGATTCTGGACCTAAATTGACCAAATGACTGACTTTACTGAAAACCTTATGGTTATCGAGAAAACTGGGAAAGAATAATAAAGAATAATAATGAATAATAATAATAAGAATACTGACAAAAACAATAGACTCCAGATTGACATCTGGAGTCTAATAACAAGAAAGGTAGCACCAAATTAGCTTGATGTATTCATGAATGGATTCTCAAAAGTATACACACGGGGTACCATCGAATAATTTTGGCAACGTACCGGAGAACGACATTTTACTAAGAAATGGCAATAATTTAGCACAATATATTTTTTAACTATATTCTACTTTGATTTTTACAAAAGTAAGTATTCGATGCAATGGCTATTTCATTCATGAGTTTGTAGGAATTCTGTTGGAACCCAGTTCTGATCAAGTACGAAGTTATTGAAATCGGCGCAGTCGGACTTTTCTCCGAAAGATGGTTTTTTGATTATAACTTTTTACAACATTTAAAAAAAAGTTTTAAAAATATTACTTATGAACGTAACCGGAGCTGGGAACGTAACCGGAGCAGATCAGTTGAATTATATAATTTAAAAAATAAAATATATGATTTAAAGCATATATATTAATAAATACGCATTCGAACAATCCCGTATGTTTTTAAGTTAGTATATGTGCTTTAAATCATATATTTATTTTTTTTGATTAAATAATTCAACTGATCTGCTCCGGTTACGTTCCCAGCTCCGGTTACGTTCCTAAGTAATATTTTTAAAACTTTTTTTTTAATTAAACAAATCAGTGTCGTGTGAATCAGAAATAACAGAATTATTCAAAAGTATAAGGACTATTCTTTACTTTTTTCAAAAAGTCTATACTTAAATGTTGAGAAAAGTTATAATCGAAAAACCATCTTTCGGAGTATAGTCCGTCTGCGCCGATTTCAATAACTTCGTACTTGATCAGAACTGGGTTCCAACAGAATTCCTACAAACTCATGAATGAAATAGTTATTGCATGGAATACTTACTTTTGTCAAAATCAAAATAGAACTCTAGTTAAAAAATATATTGTGCTAAATTATTGCCATTTCTTAGTAAAATGTCGTTCTCCAGTACGTTGCCAAAATTATTCGATGGTACCCCGTGATACAAAATATATATAATCTTATTCAGGAGTCCGAATCTGAACTTTTCCGTATCGTAAATTCAATTGTTAATTTACGGATTTGTCGTATATTTACGATAAAGCCAAATCTGAACTTTTCCGTATATTTCTAAAACATCGTAAATTTACGATTATTCTGTATATTTCTAGGACACCTATTTACCTGTCCTAAATTTACGATTTTCCGTATATCGCAATCCGGGTCTCATTGACGTAATCAAAATAGCGGAACGCAGGTACTCTGCCTTGGTGTGACAATACGACAGGTATGCTTAGGTTTAACGCAATCATTCGAGAAAGACGGAGGTTGAAGAGGGATTCCATATACAAACCTTTATCAAGGACAAGCACTGTTGAATTCTTGAATAGATTCGAGGAAGATGAATGCGTAAAGCGCTTTCGGCTCAGCAAAGATTTGATTTTTTATTTGGAGGAGGCCATTGGGGATCGCTTGGAAAGAAAAACCACCGATCCCAGAAATCTATCTCCTATAATTCAGGTACATGTGCTAACTGCTAACAGTCATACTGGAATATCCCGACAACAGTAAAGTCAGATACCGTCGTTGTCAAAAATGGTGGACATAACGGTCCTTTAATTAGATTTTCATGAACATGTGACAACAGTATCTGGCTACTGTTGTCAGGGTATTCCGTTGTGACAGTTGTTACAACTCAATCGCAGGTGCACGATGAAAAACACATTAAATAAATGTGAATAATAGTGTTAAAAACGAATAACGAATACGATCAATCTCTTGAATAATTAATAAGCACTCTGAATTAATCGAGTCTTATTCTACAATAACCCAGATGCGAGTAGAAATAATCTTGATTTACGTCATTAAAAATTCAAAATTCAGTCAAACTAATATCATATTTGAAATCTACATGTAAAATTACATCTAGAAATGTGGTTTTAAAAAGTGTTTATCAACTTTTAAAAATTAATTTTCTTTGAAAATGTGACTTCTAGCTCGGGGAGATTCCCCTTAGACCCCATGCTATAAAATCACAAAAAATGAAATATCTTTTCTTTTAGTGGACAGATAATATTTTGCTTTACTGGACATATTTTCTTTAGTATAAGTATCAGACGCATAAGGGTTATATGAAAATTGAGCGGCTTAAATTGATAATATTCAAGTTTAAGGGAACTTTCTCATATACCTGCCATGTTAATTGACCCGAATCAGCCACCTGGTGGTGAAACTGGTATCTACCTACTCGCATTTGGGTAATTGGACAATGTTTTTAAGCATCTCACGCTCGTCTTACGCATATTCTAGATATGTATTGGCCTCAGATACCTAGCTCAGGGGGACCATTTTACATCTGTGGGGGATGCCATGGGAGTAAGTGCATCAAGTGTTGCTCGGGCAGTGACTGATGTGATTTCTGGCTTGGTTACCATAGCTCCAACATATATTAGATTCCCGAATTTGAAGCAAGAGATTCAAGAGGTACGGATTTTATAATAATAAGTCAATACTGAAAAACCCAAATCGTCGGATGAAATACCCAGTATGAAAATAAAATCACGCTGGTTTATTGTTGCCTCACCCAATCCAAGCACTTTATTTTTATTTTTAATTAACAAGATTTCAAACATTTTGGATACTAAACTGTTATCTAAATATCAATGAAGATCAACATAAATTCTCATTGTAGGCGCATGAATACTGGTACTCGTTCGCCGAATTTCCAGGTGTGCTTGGACCGATCGACGGGGTGCATATGCCGTTAACAAACGCAAACCTTGATGACAACGAGGCAGCGTACGTTAAACGTAAAGGATGGCACTCCATAAACACTATGCTTATCGGCGGGGTGAGGCATACCATCGCATATGTAAGTGCACGATGGCCAGGTCGGGCTCACGACAACACCATTTACCAGCAGTCCGGACTGGCCAACGAGTTAAACGGACCGACTTATATCAACAAAGGGTACTTGTTGGGCGACTCGGGGTATGCTCAGCATGACAAAATGATGACGCCTATTAGGGATGTTGGAAACCTCACAAGGTTCCAAAGCCGCTACAATAGGAAGCACAAATGCACACGGTATGTTATTGAGCAAATCAATGGAATACTTAAAAACCGTACGAGGTGCTTACATAAATCAAGGGGGTTGCCCTTTTCGCCTCCAAAGGCATGCGACACTATAGTGGCATGCGTGGTTGTTCATAATTTAGCAACGCTAGCAAACATTCCTGTTCTCGATGACGAACAACTAGATGACGAGGATAATGAACCTATCGATAACGAGGATGATGATGAGCTCAACAGGTTTGATGCCCCTGTCAACGATGGCAGCAGGAACAACTTAGTTCAAGTGGCATTCAGCTACTAAGCAGTACTATCAGAATCTAGCTACATAGAACTTCAGCAAGTTTTATTGAAATTTACAAGTACTACTATATTTCTGAATTTTTCTTTAGTGAGGCATTCAAGCATAGAAATGAAAACAACATGTTAACAATGACTATTACATGAATTCACATCATAAAAATTGATGTCGAAAATAAAACAAGTAATTTGATAATGATTTTTAGGAAAATGTCACTACTGGAATACTTTTTTGATACAAGCCTTGGATTCAATGACACCTAGTATGAAGCAAATAAATGGTACCACATGTACCATGGGTAGTTGGTTCACTGATAGTGATAAGAATTCAAAAATGATGTACAAAACATGCCTCGCAATAGTACAACAATGAATAACAATGTTTATAACTACTGTAAATCTTTAATAACAATATCCCTTAAACAATATAACATGTACAAAAAATGTACTTATTTAAAAATAACAAGGTTTAAACAAGCTGCAAATGCTTGACTCTGGTTTTGAAATGTGAACACTCTTACACTTAAGAAAAAGGAGCATATATGTACATCATAATATATCAAGTTATTTATTATAACATGGATAAATACAAATATAATTTAATAAAATTTATAAGCATTAACTGTAATTGTTATTTCTTTAAGGCTCAATTCATCCAACATTTCATACATATTTCATATATATTACAAAACTATGCCCCCACTGTTTGATACTAGCATCAATAAAACAGACATTGCATTAAATACATAATGTTTAAGGCATGAACATGTCAAGTGTCACCACCTGCCATTTGTTACAGATATTTAAGGCATGAACATGCAGTGTCACAACCTGCCATTTGTTAGAGATATTTAAGGCATGAACATGCAAAGTGTCACCATAACGTCGTAGAATATAGGATACGGCAAAACCAATTTAGGTCAAGTTTACGGAATAATTCAGAATCGGTTTTAAACTTTTTCCGTATAGTTGTCCTATCGTAAATTATTTACGGCAGAGATTTACGGAAAAGTTCAGATTCGGACTCCTGTAGCTTCGGGACAATGACGATTCCTATTCGGTAGAATGGAATATATCTTTCAACAACTTCTTTGACGCTTATGAAAGGAAATAGTTTGGATTCAAACATAGCACAAGTTGAGACATACTAACAGTTATACAATGCTCAGAGTATCCATCATTACTTACAGAAGGCAAAGAACGACTCGCTGATATAGTTTTCTGCGAGCTTTTTTATGCCTCAGTATCTCAAGCTGAGCCACCAATTTATCCAAATCATTACATTGCAAAGTTAGAATGTACAGGCCATATACAGAAATGTATGGGAAAGAGACTAATGGCAAAAGTAAAAGAGTGCAAGGGAAAATCATATGAGGATCGAGGCTGCAAGTACACTGGGATTGGAGGCGCAGTGCGACTAACACAAAAAAAAAATCAACAAAATTCAAGGCCACTGTGGAGCAGCCATAAGGGGAAACAAGGGAGACTCTGCTGCCATGAGACTTGCTATCATCATGGCAATGTGTGACTATTAATTTACTTATTCAGTGGTGAATTTCATATAACTGTACATTTACCCACCTACGGATGCATATTGTTCTTGTTGCAATTTACAAATGTGAAAAACATAAATCCTGCATCTTTTTGCTATTTAAACAAATCACTTTTTACTTAAACTCCTTATTCTCATACTTATACGAAGTTTCGCAGTCCGTACCATTATGTACGACTCAGTCCACACCACTAGTATGACTTCCTGTCTATATATCCAAGAATTCATTTTTACAATTTCAAATTATACAATACTCCAGATGGCGCCACCATTTAAATTTCTTAACAATAATATTCTTACAATCATCACCATGTACAACGTGGCACATGCTACATTTGTTAAAGCAAATTAAAAGACGCCTGAAAACTATACCCAGGCACTTGACACTTTTTATGTTGAGTTTTAAAACAATGTTTTCAATGTTTTTCACGCTAAATGTATTATATTTTGAGCCTTTCTATTTCTTGACAAAATGTTTTCAGACTAGAGTCACAAACCTCCATTGTTTCTCTGGTAATGTTTGTACCTAACAAAATGAAAATAGAGCCCTGGAGAAGCATAAAATGCTCAAAATATTCTTGTGGAAGGATCCCCCACAGACATGGGATGGAATAATACAAGAGAAAAGATCGTAATTCCGAGGCTTTCCATTGTGATAAATCACTCACTGCTCTTGGCACTCTGGAAATGATATTGTGAGGCTTCATAGATTTCAACCTGGTGTTTAAAATAGTAGTATAAGTAAGTAATAAAAATCCAGTAAGTTACTAGCCTATTATAATAGAATTCTGAAATTGATAATTCGTAAGTGAATTTAGAAGCACTTAAATAATTGCAAAACAAAGCAATTTTTTCATGTGAAAAATGGGGAATAGCATACAGTGTCATTGATGAAACAATTCTCATGTTTTCTCCTATCAACTCTTATAATATTTTTTTGAGATGTCTGATGAAGCCTGTGAAAAGGAACGGCTTCAACAGACAATTGAAGACCAGGACATAGAGATCAGTATTTTGGAAGACCAACTCCAGCAGCATGTGACAAAAATTCAAGAGCTTACGGCAAAAAATACCAAACAAAAAGATGAACGTATAGACATTTCAAGATTATCAAAATAATGACAAATACAGTTCACATCTAAGTTACACGTTACACATTTATCAAACGGAGCATCAAAGTTAGGTCACCTTGTAAAGAAATCCACACAATGGAAACCAGAAGTCGAGGTGTAGAAATGAGGTATGTATGCTCACAATGGAAACCAGAAGTCGAGGTGTAGAAATGAGGTATGTATGCTCATAATTTTTCCTCTAATGTTAAACTTGGCTTGGTCCATTATATAATTGAAACCAATTAACATTAAAACACCATTTATTTATCTATTGACTTGAACTGTATATCTCAAACCATGAACATTCAAGGTCTAACTAAGTAATAGCAGCATCTTTGTTGGCATATGTCAGTATTATATTTGCATAAGCATTTTCAGAATGCCATTCAAATTTCCACCACAACTTCATCTCAGAAAAATAAAAAAAAAGAGACTTGACTTGTACTAAGATCTATTTCAAACCAAGATTCTAAATACAGATTTTTGAAAGGTTATCTTGTTTTTCAAACCCAAATTTTTCTCCTGATTGATCCAGAAACAATGATTTTCAAACATTTCTTGAATAAAATACAGATTTTCTCATAATCTAGAAATAATATCACCCTCATATTTTCAAAACATGAATGTGAAAATAAGCATTTAATATAATAAAAAAAATGATGAAAGACATTTTCTTTTCTGTGCGGATGGGCAGGTTTGTTTGGCCTTACTTGCTGGTTTTAAGGGGGGGGGTTAATGGTCTTAATGAGGAAGATCTTGAGGTGGGTATCTTATCTTTATAGAAATACCCTCCGAAATACTTCCACAATGCCTAGATTTGGTCCAGGTGTTTAGGTGTTTTTGCCATAGATGGTGTTCACAGGCAATTGTGAAAAGAATGTGTGTTGGGAATATTATGGTGTTAGCAGTGATCCTCACAAATAAACTTGTTGACAAGACATATGAACTTGAGCGTGCTGACTGGGCTTTCAAAGTGGATATAAAAGCAATCTAGCTTTCCAGTTATGCTAATTCCAGTTGCCAATGATCCACCGGTGTTCGAGCAACTTACCCTGGGTCCCCTTCAGTCTCCCGCGACTTACAGTTTGAAGAAGATGACTTGACGGCTGTTTACCCACAGGAGATCCTCTCATTGGTGCTGGAAAAGCATGTCATAAATGCCAACCACAGCCAAGAAGGGGCCAGGACCATGCCCAGAGTTGACATCATCCAAGACCAGAGAGCGGCTCTGGGACTGTTGGACCCAGCCCTTGAGGCAGAACTTGACAGAGGCAGAACTTGACAGCGGCAGAGGAGGCGTCTGAAGGCCAAGGCCATCTCGATAGCAACACCTCCAGAGAAATGGCCAAGATCCGCCTTACAGCCATGCAACAACCTAACTGTAGGGTCAACGTTGTCCCTGGGGTCTCTCGCTAAGACCCAGCTGATTAACACCCCTGCAGACACCCGGAGCAGGGCTATCCAATGTGACATGATGAGAGAAAGAACTAAACAGATACTTAGAAATGTGTTTGGTAAATCTAACAAACAATGAAGATTAAATGAATTGAAGTCAATACAAGACCACAACCAACAAAGAAGAGATCTAGCCTAGTGACATTAATTAATTTACATTCTATTAAAGGACATTAATAATTTATTAGGTACTTCGAGACGAAGTGTTTTTTGAGGGGGGGGGGCAATGAAGCATTTGCAGGGTTTTAGAATGGACGATTTTATCCCTGTGCTACATTTCCTCCTGTTCCTAACCTTCGTTCTCTGAGTTTCAATTAATTACCTTCCATCTCAATAATTTCTAGCTCTAAATTTCTATTCTTAACATATTAAGTACATACATACAGTATAATTTTCAGTGCCTCTCAATTCAAAGTTCCATTCTCTATCTTTATTATTGTATTTGACTTTTGTTCTAGTCAATATATACCCTCCAAAGCTTAAGGCGAACCATCAAGGAAACCCCTGAAAAGATTGCAGACTCCCCAGCTGAGTCTGAGGTGTCCACCCCACCCCAACGTCCCACATGGAAGGTCATTCTTCTGGAGCGCTCTACCCCACTCTGAGCAGGGGAGCAGTGTCACCTAGACCCTTGATTATTTAGTCTCGGGTGCCCTCTGCCCAAGGCCATCTCGATAGCAACACCTCCAGAGAAATGGCCAAGATCCGTCTTACAGCTATGCAACAACCTAACTGTAGGGGGTTAGAGTCGACATTGTCCCTGGGGTCTCTCGATGAGACCCAGCTGATTAACACCCCTACAGACACCCGGAGCAGGGCTATCCAATGTGACATGATGAGAGAAAGATCTAAACAGATACTTAGAAATGTGTTTGGTAAATCTAATAAACAATGAAGATTAAATGAATTGAAGTCAATACAAGACTACAACCAACAAAGAAGAGATCTCGCCTAGTGACATTAATTAGTTTCGTGACTGAAACTCTATTAAATAAGCTTCATTCAATTCAAAAACAGTTTATACGTATGCTCGATAAATCTCATCACTATAGAGATCCAACTAAACCACTCTTTATTGAACATAAATTGCTAAATATTCATCAAATTGTTAAGTTGAGAATTGCTTTATTTGTTTTCAAATGTGTAAAGGGCAATAATGACTTGATGGATGATCTTTATTCTTCTTACTTTACAACCAATTATAGCATCCATGACCGCAACACAAGAAACAAATTTGACCTGAGAGGCCCCAAGTTTAACACAAACATAGGCAAATTCTCAATCAGCCTTCAAGGCAAAACCATCTGGAATTCCATCCCAGAGAATATAAGATCATTGAACTCAGAAAAATTATTCAAATCAAAATATTTTCATCATCTATTAACTCAGCCACAACCAAGACTTTGAGGTGCTCACATGTTGTTTGATTACAATAAAATTCCCAACGCACCATTCCATTGGGCATTTTCTGGCACTTTTGATCTCAAGAAATTTATATTTTTTTTTATCTTTAGCATGAACACCAACTATATCAGGAAACGGGGACATTGGGAGGAGGCCAAAACAGCTTTGTATCATAGCTGAAATTGCAGGAACAAAACCTTTATTACTTAATATAATAGTTCCAAGGATTTTTTCCATTCATATACCTATTTATCATCTTCAATTGCTAACTCATATGAATTTTTTTATTGTTACAGGGGGCACCATACACCTTTCAGTGGTAAAATTACAGATCACGCCACCATTTAAATTTCTTAACAATCATATTCTAACAATCATCACCATGTACAATGTGGCACATGCTACACTTGTTTAAGCATTTAAAAATAATCTGAAAACTATACCCATGCACTAGACACTTTTTATGTTTATGTTGAGTCTTACAACAATGTTCTCAATGTTTCTCATGATAAATGTATTATATTTGGAGCAGTTCAGTTTGAACTGAGAACAGATTTAGCAAAATGTCACTGCAATGAAAATGTAGACAGGGACTACACAAGTCAATGGAGTGGAGCCCAAGCTTCAAACGAAATAGAAATGCTGGTAAAAAATCACTAGTGTCTGATAATGGATTAATGCTAACAGTTTAAAGGATAAGTAAAAATAACACAGATATTATAATTATGGAAAGTGGTGAGTTTTTCTGTTGTACAATGATGTAGATTTATATTATTAGTTCTGTTTATATTCAACATGTGCTTGTGTTTATTTACATCATGTGACATATTAGTTTATTGTGATTGATTGATGCTTTGGATTTAAATTTTGAAATAGTAAATGCCAGGAATTGAGATCTATTTCAATTATCTAAACAACAATATAGAAAAAATGATATCCTGTCTTCTCTAAGCCTCAATTCATTGAATCTGGCCCAGGAGAAAGAGGGAGTGGAGAGATGTATGGTGCCCATGTTGAAGGAGAAGGTGGCTCAGATGGCATGCTTCCAATTCTACAGGTGCAAGAGGCATGTATGTATTTGCTAAGCTGGAGTACAACACATCCTCACAAGAGTTAAGCAATAGTCCGCATCTAGATTCACGCATCGATAAGCTAATCCTAATCCTGGCTTGTTCATGATGAGGTCAAATTATCTCAGGCTGTCAGTTCTATCAAAGAGACTCTTATAATGAAGCTGTATAGTGAGATGTTAAGGCTCCTCTTGGGTGCCTTTGAAGCAGTTGCGCAAGAATTTTCTGGGAGCAGTCAATAAGTCCAAAAAGAAGGCACACAGGAAGCAGATACTGGAACCACCATCTCCAACATCTAGTGCAACACCTGGTCCTAGTACCTCAACTGCTACAGCAGCTGACAACAGTTTAATCGCTGGACCTGGTATTATCTTGAGGAAATACAAAGTGATTGGAGCACAGGGAAAACTTATTCGCATAACAGCATGTGTAATTTTATCAAAGCACACAATTGTATGCCAAAGTTCAGCATATTCCATCACAACTCCAAAGAAGATGTCCAAGGGAAATGTTTCCCACAACTTGCTCAAGGAAATACCAACTAAGACTGGGTTTACATTCCCCGAGAAATTACAAGCTCCACAAGCTATTAAGAAAGGGTCAAAACGCAAGAGAAACCTTGTGCAGTGTTCTGGATCAGATCTGTGATCTCCAAAGTGTGGATAACCTAACAATTCATGGGGAGAAACTTGGGGAGTATGTGGTGGAGGAGCTATTGAACAGAAAGGCTTTAATAGCAGGCTGGAGGGCTCTACATGAGGAGGTCAAATTATCCGAGGCTGACAATTCCATCAAAGACCTTCTCATCATGAAGCTTTACAGTGAAATGGCAAATCTCCTTTCTCGAGTGTGATATATGGTCACAGGACCATAATCTTTTTATTAAAACATAATATCGCGATCTCTTAATTAAAATGTAAATTCACGGTCTCTTAATGCAAATTTAATTTCGCGGTCTCCTAATTATAATATTACATCGCGAGCGATAGGTCAGGAGTTCAAATTAATACGTGCCAGAGGGTATCTACAATTGGTTTCGCGGCAAAATTGGAATTCATGAGGAGAACTACATCTAAATTTAGTAACAAAACTCGCTTATTCGTGAATTCAAAAACAAGATGCAATAGCTGAAACTTTATAAACCAATCAAATCTGAAGGATTTCACTCAGAATAATCACATATAAATGAAACATCGAAATTGAATTAGTTGTTCTGAAATTTATCACCTACATTTTAGCCTATATCGTTTTGACATCGAAGAGATGCTACTTTGACAATATGCTACAATTATAGAAAGGTATGTGTCCATTGGGTTTTGGAGGATAGTTCATAATATCTAAACATTCATTTGATTTAGCTTTCTTGGTAATAATTTCAATGCAGTTTTGTAAGATATAAACTTGAGTTTTCAAAATAATTTCCACGTGAGAAAACCAATATGACGGCTCAAATTTCTCAAAATTCATCAAAATTATTTATTTTGTTCTTCGGACTGAGCCTTACCGCCATAGATAAATAAATAACATAATTAGAACATCATTACAATCAAAAAGTTTGATGCTTTATTTCAAAATATCGAATTTTGGCACAAACTGAATAGTTTGAGATGTATATCAAAACTTTGCAAATTGGTTCAAAATTTATTAAAGAAACTGTTTATTCTAGGGACCAACCCGCTGTTTCACTCCAACTACAATCAGTCCAGGTCAGGGAGTGATAATTCAGTTTGTCATTTCTTTTGGTAAGACATAAAACACTTTTTTTGTTTGTAGTTTGATACTATTTACCTTATCACAAACCCAGGTTACGTCCAAGGTGCACAAAGCTAATTGCAATTCAATTTTGATTCGTTCTTGTCTACATGTGTTTTATGACGAAATCAATAGTTATATAGGTTGGTCCTCAAAATACACAACTGAATACATTTAATTGTCTTTTGCTTTATGTGTGTGAGCGACTAAATCATTTATATTTATAAAAGTGTTATTAACAGGAGGGAGATTATGTTTATTCTACTTTCCCATCAGGTTATATACAACACTTCCATAATTCAATATTTAATCCCATATTACAAGCATTTCTTCTAGTAATTTTCAACTATAATCATTTTAGGCCAATCCTATTTTTCAAAATTTATCCCCAATCTTATTTCTATATTTCAAACCCCCATAAACCATTTCCTATAAGATATATACCATGAATCGTGCTATTTTGAGTGTCTAAAAAGTTGTTTTTTTATGTTACTTTGTAAACTGTTATTCTCAGTTATGTATTGTATTGTGTTGTTCATTATCAGTTATATTTTGTCGTAGAATGTAGAGTACAATGTTTGTCAGTCAGATTTTACATCAATGTTTCCCAATTTTACAAATATATTCATTTTATGAGTGCAATAAATTGAGTTATGAAACAACTATTTCTCTTGCTTGTGATAAAACGTTATAAAATATAATCTAATTGATAGAGTATTATATGTTATTGAAATATGACATGATATGTCGATCTAATCTTCTTTAGGTCGATAAATCATAATTATTATTGTATAAATGTTGAACACATGTAAAATATTTCATATTTCTTATTCCAGGCCTGTGTGCCCTGTGTGCTTACTGCCTGTGTCAGTCAGTCAGTCTGTAAAATTTACATTTGATAAAACATATTTTTATACTATTTTGATATTGAAAATAAATTGATTTATTGATATTTTAAATCTTATTTTGTTATTATTGGTTCAAGAGACTCTATGAAGCTATAATTGTAATTGACCCACATACACTCGCCCACTATCCTTCATTTTGGTGTCAGATGTGGGATCACATATTCTACAATTGACAATATGCTACAATTATAGAAAGGGACCAACCCGCTGTTTCACTCCAACTACAATCAGTCCAGGTCAGGGAGTGATAATTCAGTTTGTCATTTCTTTTGGCCTGTGTGCCCTGTGTGCCCTGTGTGCTTACTGCCTGTGTCAGTCAGTCAGTCTGTAAAATTTATATTTGATAAAACATATTTTTATACTATTTTGATATTGAAAATAACTGATTTATTGATATTTTAAATCTTATTTTGTGATTATTGGTTCAAGAGACTCTATGAAGCTATAACTGTAATCGACCCACATACACTCGCCCACTATCCTTCATTTTGGTGTCAGATGTGGGATCACATATTCTACAATTGACAATATGCTACAATTATAGAAAGGGACCAACCCGCTGTTTCACTCCAACTACAATCAGTCCAGGTCAGGGAGTGATAATTCAGTTTGTCATTTCTTTTGGCCTGTGTGCCCTGTGTGCTTACTGCCTGTGTCAGTCAGTCAGTCTGTAAAATTTATATTTAATAAAACATATTTTTATACTATTTTGATATTGAAAATAAATTGATTCATTGATATTTTAAATCTTATTTTGTGATTATTGGTTCAAGAGACTCTATGAAGCTATAATTGTAATCGATCCACATACACTCGCCCACTATCCTTCAAGTGCTTTTGAAGCAATTCCAAAAGGATTTTCTGGGAGCAGTCAAAAAGTCCAAAAAGAAGGCACACAGGAAGCAGATACTGGAACCACCATCTGCAACATCTAGTGCAACACCTGGTCCTAGTACCTCAGCTGCTACAGCAGCTGACAACAGTTTGATCGCTGGGCCTGGTATTACATTTGAGGAAATACAAAGTGACAAGAGCACAGGGAAAACTTATTGGCATAACAACATGTGTAATTTTAACAAAGCAGGCCCCAACTGGACAATCTTTGAGAGGCATATTCCATCTCAACTCCAAAGAAGCTGTCCAAGGAAAATTTTTCCACAACTTGCTCAAGGAAATACCAACTAGGACTGGGTTTATATTCCCCGAGAAATTACAAGCTCCACAAGCTATTAAGAAAGGGTCAAAACGCAAGAGAAACCTTGTGCAGTGTTCTGGATCAGATCTGTGATCTCCAAAGTGTGGATAACCTAACAATTCATGGGGAGAAACTTGGGGAGTATGTGGTGGAGGAGCTTTTGAACAGTAAGGCTTTAATTGCAGGCTGGAGGGCTCTACATGAGGAGGTCAAATTACCCGAGGCTGGCAATTCCATCAAAGACAGTCTCATCATGAAGCTTTCTGACTGCTGGGATATCCACATCTGAATTTGTAGAACTGAAGTCAAAGATGTACTCACTTTTAGTCAGTGGCAAAGCCAAGAAAACAGCTTAACTAGATGTGTCGTGAAAAACACAATCATACAGGATGATTATAGAAATGCTGCGTTGAACATTCAGCTAATGATGTTGAGCATGAAACAGTTTAAGTCAATCAAGCATGAAATCTTTAGGATGGGCAACAAAATCAGTTTGAATCACTAAAATGACAAGAGATATGTACTCTATGATGGCATCAAATCTTTAGCCAATGGACAAATTCAATATTCAGTAGATTAGAGTTATGAATGATTGAATTAGAGGAATGAATTTTTCACGACAAAAATCAAGATCATCTCTACTTCCATCTAGTCTATTAATGAATAACCCACGGTACAATTTAAGTATTGAATATCATAGTAAACTGTGAAAACAATACACCTAATATAAAAATTTGTTCCCATTAGGAGAAATGCAGGGGAACATGTTTTTGCATCAAAGGAAGCTTTGGAAATTCTCAATGGCAGCAAAAAGTCGGAAGAAGCTGACAAATGGCAGAGGTCAATGTGTGACAAGACACCAGATGGCAGGGGAGATATCGTGGCATATATCTCTATATTATAAGGGGCCGGGGTCATCCATATATTCTCTGAACCATTTTTATGGATTGATGATTCTCGCTTATTTATGAACTGATTTTCTTATTTTTTGGAAAAATCACATGAGTATGAATACTATGCATTGGTGTAATTTATCCCTTAATAGAAATATATGTCATCTAAAAGTAAGTTTAAATAAATTAACGAATTTCAAACAAAAAATCCTTCAAAAAACAATTTTTGAAATATTCACATATCACATTTTGATAACATTGATAAAGAATAAGGAGAAGAAGGAATAAAGACAGACACAACACAATATGGTGTGCCTAGAGACAGATCATGAAAAAAGGACACAACCATAGGCTCTGAGGTATTTAATAACACTAACATTCTATCTCAACATCAAAACCTTAACAACATTGAAAAGGATTGATTTAGTTTGTGCATGTAATTTGAATATGTGCAAGACACAGGTTAATACACGTCAAGAACAACACAATGTTCTTAAACAAAAACTAGTAGTTTCATACAATAGGGAAAACTCTTCTATAATAACATGTTTTTCCTGGGAAAATAACAGGGAATAAAATTGATATTCAAAAAATCCTGTATCAGCCAAAATGCTGTATTTGATCCCGCATCAGTGAAACTCCCGTCTCAGATTCCGTATCAGAACCATTCCCGGTAATTTCTCTTCAGTTTTACTTCAGTTTCATTATAGAATAATTGATGGTCTTGATGGAATTTCCCTCAGAATAGAATTCATATTCCATCCCTTCCATCAAATAACCTTTATATATTACATGAACCGATTTTAATTATTGCAATAACCTTGATGCTGGGATCAGACTCAACTTGCCTAGCTATGTGAATATATAGTACATAGATATGTGGATAAACAGTCAGAAAATAATTAAATAACCATTAATAATGCACAGTGCAGCATCAGCCTTTTTAACATACAGCACCCTGACTGTTCAGTCAATTTATTGAGAAAAAATTAAATGGATTAAAATGTTTTAGAATATAAGTATGAATAAATACACTAAATGTTTCACATCATTTCTTTGAAAAGTTACTGAAAAGTTTCAATATCCTTAAATTACAGTCCCCAAAGTCCATCATCATCTTAGAATTGACTAAGGGGCGGGGTCAAAATATCGATGTTCATATGGAGACTAAAGTAGGGGGAGGGGTTTTTGGGCACTTTCGTTGACCAAAAAACATCGATAATTCGGATCTGATATACAAAAAATAATTGGACTTACCCACTTTTTCTGGCGCTATGTTCTGATAAAAAGGCTTGTTTTCAATAGTTCTTGAGCTTTTTTGTGTGATAGGTCCAAAATATCGGTAGATAAAGACGATAATTCGATCATTTTTCAAATAAATTCTGTACTTTTCCCTCCTCCTTTTGAAGAGTTCAATGCAGTTAAATTGCGAACGTGTGTTAATTCACCGTAATAATAACCCGGCAACAACCAATAGTTATTTTATTTCCAGGAAAGAAGTAAGAAGAAGACAAAGGCATATGACATGAACTATTAAGTAGTACAATTAAAGAAGACATATGGACTACTAGTATAGTTATAGACTGTACAATACGTTTACACGTTACATTTAATGTTACGTTCCTTTGTATTTAATAGTGAATTTGATAAATGTTCAAATAATATTATAAAGATTGCTAAATAGATAGATAATCACTGTGTTGCTGTATCCTGTTGTCTTGTACCTATATCATATTGCTGCAAACTGGTCCCTGAGTAAAAAGGAAACATTACAAGTCACGGCAAAACTGATGCATATAATGATTGTTAAGTGGATGGAATCGCTATAGTATATCATCGGTGTATAAAGGTAACATGTTCATCAATGTAATCACGGGTTCCAAATCATTTGACAGTCACTGAAAATCAATGTTTTTTTTAAGTGACCTAAGCTTTCGTCTAGAGGGGGGGTGGGGGGTTGTTGTCCAAACGAAATTACTTTCGTCTCCATATGAACATCGATATTTTGACCCCGCCCCTAAACCATTATTGCTAAACCAATCTAAGCAGTGCATTTTTCAATAATTTTGGACATTAATTAAAAATAAAAATTTGAAAAAACAACATGTACAAAGCCCTTGGTAAGCTTTTACAAGTGAGTGATTGCTATAGTTCACCATGTGAGCTAAAAATCATAGATGTAATCTTTAAAAATGCTAGATTCTTAGACTTTAAAAACATTGCGTTTCTTTTTATTTCTCTTTTTTACATGTAAGCTCCTTCTGATCTCCAGTTAACAAAGCACAATTAATCCTTTAGAAGTTGAGACTCTGGGACTGTTGAAATACATGATTTACATGATGTCAAAGTTCAATCCTATTATAAATGGCTTCTTGATAAGATTATTTTTAGTGAAAATGGTTTGCCAACTATTTTCAAATTATTATGTTGTTGACGATGATTTGTCACAAGCTTTGATTATTGTTGTGAACCAAAAACACTGAGAGCTGTTAGATGGATATTTTTGTTGGGTGTAGATCAAGGATGAGATTATATTGTTTTACAAGTGGAAAACTAATGTGTTTGAGGGAAAACATGAAATTTTAAGAAGGGGTTGATGTAAGGGCCACGCCAATGTACATACATATGTTTAGCTCAGAAGTTCATGAATGCATGTCACTTAAATCCATATGCAACTACATTTGACAAAATGTCCCTTTAACATGATATCATTACCCCATCTCATAGATGTTAACCTACCTGTTGAGTGCAAACTATTTACTATAGAAAAAAAAACTTTTAAAATTGTTAAGCACTGTTGCAAATCACCAACTACCTATATATGACACAGCCATTAGTAAATTGGAGTGTACTGGCCATAACCAGAAAAGGATGGGAAAACGACTAATGGCAAAGACACTGCATGTAAGGGAAAACCATACACTGACAAGAATGGTTGCTAGTATACCAGTATAGGTGGAACAGAGACATTGTATATAAGGGGAAAAACCATACCCTGACGAGAATGGTCGCAAGTATACCAGTATAGGTGGAGCAGGGACACCGCAAGTAAGGGAAAACCATGCACCAACGAAAATGGTCGCAAGTTTCAATGACTTTGAAAAGTCAATCACCATTAGTAGATTGTCACGCAACATGTCACTTACCTTCATGAAAACCAGTATTACTGTACAAATTGGGGTAAAAGGTCATTTTACAAATGTTATTCACAGATGTTCAGGTTCATTAAGACAACTTTAAAGTTAATTTGTTTAATACAATTTCTCTTTACCCTCTAACAGCTGGGAACTATATAAATTGTACCTGTATACCACAGAGTAATATTCAATCTCAGCACTATAAAATTGAAGCATTATAGAAAGCAAAATTTATATTCGTAAGAAATTTAGAAAAGCTCAAATAATACAGAAAAATGGCCTATTCTTTTTTATTAACAAAGTTTATTCAGTCTGTAAAGTTTTCTGAAATTTGAAAAAGTAAAAAATGTCAGCGCTAAATTACACCACAAATCTTATCTCAAGAGGCTTTATCTTCTCTGAAAACCAGTATTAAATCATGTAAAAAGGAGCAGGTGGATATCATTCATCACTTACTGGGTGGCAAGGACACATTTGGGGTGCCATCGACTGGTTATGGCAAATCTCTTATGTACCAAATTTATGGAAAAGTCAACGATTTAAAAATGGATAGGAGTGGAGATAATGCAAGCATTGTGGTCGTAGTTTCTCCCCTAGTGGCTCTGATGGAAGACCAGAAACGCAAATGTGCCTCTCTAGGCCTCAATTCAAATCAAATCCCATCTTGAAAACTGCTTACATGGAGGTACTAAAAATACTGAGTCTTTTCATCACCTCATTTGGGAATGCTACCCCAAAACAAAACTTTGCGGGTGTAGGTGACTGGAAATAGCTGCATATGATGCAGTCATAGTGCAAATGATAGTGAAACAGGCGTATCATTGAACATTATTACATCAAAACATCAAAGCATTCCCGTGCAAAATAAGTGTAATATTATATGTATTTAGTCAACACCAGTACACTTGTCCATCTGCGCATACGCAGGATTATACTTGTAATAACATTTGAGACATTGATGTTATAAATATACTAAGATATGTCAGTTCTATTTCGGATTCATCTTGACAATTATCACTCGATTTGGTCAACTACCGGAGCAATATCAAGGTAATAATAATTTAAATATACTTTAGTATCATGCACTGTCAAAGTTCTATATAAGTGGCACTGTTTTGATTTCCAAAGCCGATTATAAGCCTTGCAACTTGCTCAACCAGACCTTGCAGATGAGGCGAATTCGGATGACAGTGGTGAAAAACCTGTCTGGAGATGCAGACAAACATTCCCGTGCTTAACTGTTAACACCTGTTGACTGTGTAAGTTAAAGGAGTAAAACAGTAAAAATGTAAATAAAGCCATACCTGTACAGTTTTAATTAGATTAGTTTTTATCTTATTTAATCCTTATAACCATTGTTCATCTTTAATATATCTGCAGTGTTATTATGTATTGTACACTGGCAGTCTATAATGACCTACTTTAAAAAAATCAGTGATTGTTTACTTTATGCATTTCTTATATTCAATTGAATTGTGATGCCATATGACAATATAACGTTGTCAAAGAGACAAAATATAACACTAAACATGTTGTCAAAGTGATGTTGTTTAAAATAAACAAACATTATAAGTGAAAATAAATGCTATATGTAATTAACAGTAAGGGAAACAGTCTCAAATCATGAAAGAAAATATGATTTTTGTTCTGAAAGTAAACTGTTGGAGTTAGTCCCAAGCATTATTTTATTGTTTCACATGAAAATGGTGATCTGATATATTGACGATTAAGGAATTGTTTT